TGAACTGATTTGAACAACAGGATTTGCCTGTAATGCAGTCTCTAAAACTTCCCGTTGATCCTTTAAACAGAATTTAATTTCCAATTAAGCTTTCATAATACATTTCTAATTTTAATCTGCACTCATTTTGCTGCTTATTAGCCTCAACATGCTAAAGAGAAAGCTTTCTAAAGTGAAAAGCTAAAATTTGTAAGAAAGCTTGGTATGGAAACTGCAAGCCAGCAAAAGAACAGCTATCATGAAATCTTACTTCCTGTATTCATCAGATATCTTAGGGTTTTTTTTAATCAAACGGACACTCCACCCTTTTATTACAGTTACAGGAATCAAATTTTTATGTATTAAAAAGGGCATTTTAAAAGAAACAGTTATAGAAGATTTTGATTTGGTTAGTTCCAGTGTCAAATTTGCCGTTCGATTACAGTTAGGTTCTGTCCATAAGTTTGTACTTTGCCCAGAATTTTGGGGGAAGAATTTAGCGAAGTTCAAGTGTTGAATTTTAACAAATGCTTCCTTTGATTCCCATCTGCATATTTTGGACACTTGGGAAGTCTGTAGGAAAACTGGATATGCTTTCGGGGATGTGTTTCTCCTTTTTTTTTTTTTTTTTAATTGTATAACTTGAATCTCTCCCTACAAACACAGCTGTATATCCAGCAAACTTTAACCCAACCTAAATGGAAAAATTGAGGTAGTTCATATAAAGGGGCTCACGTAAGAGCTAGTATCTGGAAGAATGTTCCACTGTTAGCAAGTCAGTAATTGTGTTAAATCTAATAATTTTGATTTCTTACCGCAGTTGTGTGTGTCCAGTTCCATTAACTAGAGTAAGATCATGTCATGTTACTCAACTGTTAGCCGAGTTAAGAATGTAATTGCTTGCAAATTCCTAATTACTACATGGAAAGGTAACGATCCCTTTCGTGTTTGCTGTAAAGATGCTGTAAAGATTGTTATTCTATTAAGAATGCAGAAATTTATTTGTTTTAATAGAACTTCAAATCTGGCGAGCCTTTTGAGTCAGCTTTTTGTTTGGGGAACGTTTTTGGCTATTCTAGAAAACTGCTTATGCAGCAGTATTTGATTTTTAACGACTAAATTGCATTTTAACTTAAAATCTTCATTTTTTTTCTTTAAGTAGCGTAAGAAAAATGCTGGTGGAGGGAAAATTACAGATTCAGTTAGGATCTGTCGTTTGGGAGACATTTCTTCTCAACAAGAATGCCAAGCAGAAATAAAATAGTTTAACAAGCAAAAGCTTTTTCCTTACCAGGAAAAGAACTGGAATATTTAGCAATATTTTGAACTGTCAAGGAGCTATTATCTTGACCACATAGTACATAAATGGAAAAGCTGTAATGTAGACTCACTGAGTTCCCGTGGTTCAAGAAATTAATATATCTGGTGAACACTCAGTAATTCATTATCATACTTCACTATCTAAATTCGTATAGAAAGCAAGTTACCACTAATTGAATCTAACCCCAGGAGATAAAGCTAGAGTTGTCATGAGACTTCTTAACATTTTAAGAGTAATCTGAATTTTTTCTATTAAGAAAAGGCTTTTTTTCTTTTTTTTTTTTTAAATAAAACCCCCCAATCCCCCTCTTCAAACCTAATCCTCAAACCCTGAGTTGTGCAATAAGTACACTGAATTCACCTCACAAGGTAGTTGTACAGAAAAAAGAGGAAGTGTTCGTTTTAGTCACAACCGATGTCTGTTTTCGTTTCCGGAGCTGCGTTTCTTTGTACACCGGTCCCCTTAGTCAGACTCGAGACTCCTGAGTTATCTCAAAGCACGACAGTGAAATTTGCAGGTATTTTTGCTGATCCTCTGCTTTGAAAAACTTGAGCTGCTTTTGCTTGAGATCTCCCGTTGGAGTGACAGTAAGGTGTAACGTCGTAGTATTTAAAAATGCTTTCTTACCAGCTAAAAAGCTGGAGATTTGAGGCGCTCGGCAAACTGGCCTGCTCTGCTTACACTTGATCTTCATAGATTGCAAGTGGCAGTTGTTGATGGTCTCCAATAAACGGCGTAGTCGGGGGGCCGCTCGCCGTTACGAGGCAGGAGACCGAAGAGAGGAACAAATACAGATCCACACGCTGGTGTAATGATATATGATAGCAATAAGCAGCAATCAGTTTTCTTATTTTTGGCACGGATCTCCAAAAGTGTTTATCGAAGGTAGTGTTACTAAAATTAATGATACAGCGAAGCCACTTGACAAGCTCGTTTTTTGAGAACCGCTTTAGTTCTGGATCTCTTCTTGTGTTTCCGCGTTTCCATGTTTAACTGCCGTGGAAAGACGAAAGGTCGTGACCTTGCTGTTACATTATGCTTTGGGGTAGGTATATAGTGGGGAGGGCCGAAACATTAAAAAAAAACCATAAAGCAACCCCCCCTCCCTGGGTGCCTTACAGTAGGTTCTTTAAAAGAAACCAACACCTGTTGAAATAGTTACTTCAGTGTTTGGCACAAATCCCAAGCAAGCCTTTTTTTTAACAACAAAAACATATGTATGGGCCAGGCAAAAAGCACAGCTAGTTCTGATGTTGTGCTTTTAGTGATCTGCGGCTATGAGTTAGAGGGGCTGTGACTCATTAAGTGATACCAGCGCGGAGCGTTTCTCTAATTTCATGTATTGCTTAGAGAGCACTGGATTGTAATTGCGTGTCAAAAGATGGCAAAAGAAAAGGGGGGGGGGCTTCCCTGCCTTTTAGATGGGATCTTTTTGAACCGTTTGGTGCGGCACACTGTCGATATTTTGTAAGTCTGCGGGCTGAGGGGATTTGTCCGCCCTTCTGTAAAGAAAAAAAACCATCAGCCACTTCGTGACCAGTATCTTGCCTGAATAGTTGAGGCTTTTGAGAGCGCCTGTTCCGTAGAGAGGTTTCATCTCTAAGAGCCGTCTCATAAGTTTTGGATTATTTCAGTCCCTCAGCTAAAGTATAAAGATCTTGTCTATCTGTATATTTCGAAATTGGTGGCTTCTAGGGAAGATTCTGTGAATAAAGGATATTTGAGTTGCTTTCCTAGGGATAGTTTTAAAGTCGGAAGAATGCACGCACCATTTTCCTCGGGGTGATCTTGTTTTCTCCTGCCCTATTCAGGAACTGGTTTAATATCTCTATACCCCTAAGTGTTGGCATGATATAAGCAGGCTGGTCCCTTTTCTCTCTGTCCTATCTTGATGCTATCAGTGTGCAATGTGGTATCTTCACTGTCAACACCGCTCAGCATCCCTACTTGTGTTGTTACCGTTTTATCAAAGGACTCGGCATAGATCACGTTGTCAACACAGAACAGGCTAGCTCTTCCTTCCCTTCGGTAGAAACATCTTCACTCAACCTCAGGGCCTTTGCGGTAAAGCTGTAGAGGCAGGGCCACTTCTTTCCATCCTGCCATTTCCTTCGCTTGAAGAAAGTGTAAAGAAAAAAAACCACACCGTGTAAACATCCAGTTTTGGGGGATGCCGCATTTTCTAGTACTTTTCCAAACTTTACTCTTCAAAATTCTGGCATTGTGCGGCGAAGGTTTTCGGATCTGTTTGAATGAAACTAAACCAGATTTGTTGATGTACGCGCTACAGTACCTTAGCAACCAACCTGCATGTAGTCCAAGATCTGAACGTTTAGTCTTTAAACAATTCTTTGCTACCAATCTAGGAACGTTCTTGCATTTCAGAGTGCAAAATCAGCCAGTTGACATCTAGTGAGGAACAACATACGGTATAAAATATGTACTCCTCCACAGTGGGAGGAGAGGGAACTTATGTAAGCTCCTTTCTTTGCTACTTTAATTGTAGTTTCTTGAGTCCTTGGAAGATGCATCCCTGGGAGCTGGATTGTTGTGTTCAGATGATTGCAAATTCTGATTTATCAGTGTAAAATAGGGCTTTGGTGGCAGCGTGATATTAAGTCTAGATGTGTTGAGTGGGAACGTTACAGGATTGAATGAGAAATTATTTTAAATACTGGTGCTACTAAACTAAAAAATAGAGAAAGGTCACTAACAAAAGATTAATCAAAAATTGTAGCTCTTATTAATGAGCTGCTGAGACAATATAGTCTTCTGAAAGAAGTGACAGTGAAAATAAGTTGACGTTTGAGTAGAAAAGAAACAACTTTCTCTCTTGCACGCTTTTTTGTACATGCGAAATGTATACAACTATGGGAAAACACACGGGAGTATTTTAGTAGAGAGGTGTCATTCAGAACTGAAGAGTGGTATCTGGCATTCATTGAAACTTTGCAGACACTCTCATTTATTTTCATGTATACCTGTTCAGTAAGGAATTCTTTGCTGTTTTTTTCCTTTGGTTGGTTAGTTTTTCTTTGAAAACCCGTGTCTTTCCCCTTTCTACAGGGCTTTTCCTGGTGGAAGAAACCAGAACATTTACCTAATGGTGGAGAGCTACAACTTGCTCTAACGTCTCCGTTACCTAGATTGTTAAAAGGTTGAATGTTTCGTTAAACAGGATCCTCAATATACACAAATAAGAAAGTCATCTTAATTTAGTATCACACACATGAACAGCTGGTTAATTTTGATATTAGAGTCATGATCAGACTGACATGGGTTTTTTACGTCCTGGTTTTCAGAATAGCATAAGAACCACATGGTTTCAGGTGGTGGTTATTTGTTGGAAATTGAATACGATCGCTGACTATGAAGCTGATTTTTCTCCCATCGCTTTACGCTACCACACAAGACCTAACATGGCAGTTTGCCAACCGTGCTTTGCGGAGAAGGTTGACATTCCCTCGGAGAAGTTGAAATCATGCTGTTTATAGATGGTATCCATTCTCGGTGATAACAGACATGGTGTCAATTTGAGTCAGTTAAAACAACTGAAAAATAAATGAGTTGCCCTTACACTTTCCTCCTCCTTTTCTTGTAGTTACAGCTGCAGAAAACCCAATATTTGCAACTGGGACAGAGTCGTGGCCAGTACTACGGTGGGTCGCTGCCAAATGTGAATCAGATTGGAAACAGTGCCATGGATCTCCCCTTCCAGGTGAGTTTAATAGAGTGTTTCTTTCTTTTTGTTGATTAATGCTGTGCCTGGATGCTATTTTTTCCTCACAGGAGACCATGAACTAGATGCTGGTCCAGAACGTAGCACCATGGCCTCAGCAGATCACCCTGTTTTAAAAATTTTTGCTGTTTTGGAATGGAGTATATTTGCATATGGGATGCGTGGATATTGTTGTATTGTGTGTACCTAGTGTTAGATGCTAGTTCTCCTGTCCTCGGTCGTGATGCTTTCGTGTCAAGAATATGCAGAGGCGATGCAATTTCTTTGTCAGTGAATATTCATGGTGGTGGTGTTTGTTTTTTTTTGTTCAGTACCAATTCATAATGAAATCTTCTGCGAAGATACTGTAGGCTCATAGCAAAAGTGGAAGCAGATAACGCAAGGTGATGTGGAAAGCACTTGGAGGTGGGGGTGGTGGAAGAAGGCACCCCGTGGTGGTGTGCATGTTCCCTGGGAGGAATGCATGGATTTTGGGAGAGAAGAAGGGGGAATGGGGCACAAACCAGTATCAGGACAGTCACTCCTCTTTGGGCTGGCTGAAGAGTAAATGTAGGGATGTACTTGCCTTTTTGCTTTGTGTGTTTTTTTGTTTTTTTTTTTTTTTTTTTTGCCTGCTGTTGTGGTCCCAAAGGTAACGCACTATAAACAGAAAACCAGTGTTCTATGTGAATGTTGTGCTGTTAGTAAGCATGTTTGGACAGACGATGTTGTACAGTGGATATGATTAGGTGATGGATACGTTTGGGACTCCCAATTTCTATAGTTAGTTGATTAAAGATGCTCAAAATAATTAAAATCTCTGCATTAGTTTTCCTTTTTTGAGTAGTAACATTCACATTTTCTCTGACGAGGATGTGGTAAGAATTAAATTTTGCAGTTTGTGGTTTTCTGATGAAGGCTGGGTTAATAAATATGGAGAAACTATTGATGACGTCCTCTAACAATGCCTTTTGAAAAATACATGTAGACAGCTGAACTTGCGGAGGTTAAAAGCTTGAATCTTGTGCAAGAGGAGAAGCAAATGTTTATTTTAGTCTGGTTGCCTTTAGGGAATACAGTGCAGAGGTTTGTAATGTTACGTAGTCCTTAGTATTACTCCACAGGCATCTGCTCTCTTCAAAATTTTGTCTTCAGTTTCTTGTTACGGAGGTTCATAGTTACTGTTCTTTTTAAGCAGTAGTATTTCAGTAGTTTGGTGCTTGATGGCCATTACTGGTGGTTATTACGTAGACTCTTTTAGTCCTGAAACTAACAGAATGCTTGAAAGTGAATATTCAAAAAATTATGAATGACTGGAGGAGGATACGGAAACAAATTGTCCTTAAACTCCAGGGTTTTATATATTTTCACACACACACACAAAAAAAAACAAACCCCAAAACCCAAAGTTGATACTGTTACAGGTTACCAATGGTGACAAGCAACAAAATAAAACCATGTATTTGTATCCAGGATGAATGCTTGCCAGGTTTTTCAATTTTAAACTGAAATACGATGAAATTGCCAGAAGATACTTGTACGATGTGCCGATCAGGTGAAGCCTGTCTGGTTGTCTCTGGTGAGAACGTTAGTGTCTGAGAATCTTGGTTCTTTGCATTTACAGCACAACGGAGCTCTGGCAGAAGCCTTTGGAGCAGTTCCTGTCTCTTTGGTAAACAAGTATTTAGGTTTGTGCAAATACGTATTTAGGACTGGTGTACTGTTTGCCCAGGTAGATACGTATTTTAGCACATGTTACACTTTTTCTGGTATGCACAGTATTTATTTGATTCACTGTCCCAGCTCCAAAGGAGTTATGGTCTGTCACATAAATACAGGTTTTGCCATGCATCCCGGTTTGGAACATGCATAATAATTCCTGTACAGACTCCCTGGACTTGCTATGGTCTGTCATGCGATTACTTATGATTTATGGGGGATTAATTTGATGCAGATGGTGGTTTATTTGGCACTGTCTTGGCCTGTGATTTAAGCAATCTCTGAGCATGTGCACTTAGCCTGCATGTTAAACTCCATCGGCAAAGGCAGAATGATTACCCAAATGCTGCTTGTCACCAGGAGGCACCAATATGTAAACTGTCAGTAGGTACCACTCCTCTCTTTCCTCCTCATCCACCTTGCTCGTTTTTATTTCTTAAGTCAATGTCTTGATAAATCTTAAAGGGACACTGTTGCTTTAGAGCACTGAGCTTTTTCCTTCCTGTCTGTATTTAGCTGCTTTTGTTTTTTAATGTTTTGTGGACTTTTGGTTCTGATCTCAAATCCTTGAACGTTTTTCAGGGAAGCGAAATGGTTCCAGTTCTTCATTTTCCAAATAAAATCGATGCTCAGATCTGTTCTTTTTTCTTCATCACAGTTGTTTACTGTAGTAAAGTATCATCTGCCCTGCAGGGATGGGGATTTTAATGAAGGCACGCTGCTGGGTGTTTGGTCCAGAGTAAGTTTCGTGGGATGGCTGCTGAGAGAAGCCAGACCTGTTGGAGGTGATACCCATAAAGTGTTTGTATTCTTTTCTGATTTCCCTAAGCAAGTTAGGGATTCACTTGGGATCTTTGTTCCTGGAAAGCCAGAGAACAGCATTACCCCAAAATTCCTCGCTCCATAAATTGTAGCCCTGTGTCGGGGCAGGGTCCATGTTTACTTGTGCCACTGTTGCACTCAAATGAGATTTTTGTTGTGTTTTTAATATGGAAGTTGTGCCAAAAAAAGGGAAGCCTTAAGAAATAGCCATTTTTGCATTCAGCTTCTTGTCTGTATACTCATACACATTGGCTTCCTTTTAAATTCCAGGTGAGGTCTGCATTCTGTATGCTTCAGACTGGCTTCTCCTTTTTTAGTAACATTGTGGTTGAGAGCACTGGCATAGGAAATTGCTTTTCCTGTTGACTTTCCAAGCGCACATGCATTTGCAAATTTTGCTGCCTTTTGGGGTAGAACTGATGTAACAACAGTACCAGGAAGAGTTTGAGACCTTTGGTGGTTGTTTTGGAATTACGAATATTCCCGGTTCTGTGTGGTGCTGGTTAGGTGGAACCAGCCTGTTGTTTAGTGTTTGCAGCAGAGATTAAACCAACATGTTTTAATTTAAATTACTTAAAATTGAGATGCTATGACTTGAGGTTTCTAAGTCTTCAGACAAGAAAGTCATACTTGCTAAGGAACTGAAGCAAAACACCGTGATCTTAACGGCTGAGAGTACAGTAAAAAGTCACTGTGCTCTCTTGCTAGTCCACTGTTGACTTAAGCAATATTCTGCTGCATATAAAGTGTTGGCCCTGAAATGAGAAAATAAACACCGCAGCCGCTTTGCATCCATTTATATTAACACAGGTTGTGTGCGCATAGAGGGAAAGGAGACTAATATTTGCTAAATAGAAAAGAGTTTAAAATAGTAGAAGGACTCTTTACAAAGTTATTACAAACAAAACATTTAAAAAGAAATGTTAAACTTTTTAGAAATAATCATTTAAACAGCCAAAGCTGGACGCTTTTACAAAGAAAAAAAGGAAAAAGAAAAAAAGACTAATGTAGAAGCCAGATGGTTTCATGGCTTGGCAGACAGGACAGTGCATTTGCCACGTGCAGCACCTGAATGGAGGAGGAAATTTTGGATTTCCAAACAGATGGTGTTGAGGGACTCAGCAAAGCTGTTCACATTGGCAAGGAGTGGAGGACTGTGTAGCCTTTTTTCCCCAGAGACCCATATATTGCTGTTGAAGTATGAGCAGAGGTTGACCATTCGGTATTTCCTTCCCCTCGCCTCCCCCCCCCCCTCCAGGTATAGGCTGGGAAGGGCTTTTGGACATGTAGGAGAAGTTTTCCAGTATAGCCTGGGAATTCATCTTCCCTGTCCTTTCTCTGCCGTCCTCCTTCTCTGCAATCACTTGCTGACAAGTAAACGCTCTCAAGGTATCGGTGCCGATAAGATTCAAAGCAGAATCGGCCCAGCTAGGTTCACTGTGCAGCCTGACTGAAATGAAGATCACTTAAAAAATATTAGATGCTGTAACTTTTTCTAGACAGAGGAGGAAGGAAACTGCTTTTCTTTTTCTTCTAATTCTATCAGTGTCCCCTTAAAATAATTATGCTGAAAGGAGGGGTGAAAGGAAGTTTTGAGAGAATGTGGCGTGTTCTGGTGAATGTTAGGCTCACTGTGCATCTTTTTGCTGCATCTCCTGCCCTTACGGTTTAAGCTCTGGTTGTCAGCATGTTCCTTCTGGATGCATGCTGCATGCTACACCAAGGGAATGTGAACAGCAGTTGTCCGTAGGCTCCCTGCCACACTCACTTGTGATATTTTAGAGATACAAGGGTTGGAGGGCAGTGCTGATTTATGAGAGGGCAGGTCTAGCATAGTCTGCCTCCACTTGTCTCTAATCTCTGTCTGGAAGAGATAATAGCCTTGGTAATTTGCTTTCCATGGCTATAGTGAAAATGTGTTTGGAGGAGAAATTTACGTGGTTACACTTGGACAAGTGTCATCTTTTGAGTTTCATTCCTTAGTATAATACAGCCTTGCACACAATACGAATAGGTTCTGGGCAGACTGCTCGTGCATGTATTTTTCTGCTTATAACTTCATGTGTGTCTCTCTCTCAGACTCCTTTTCAGTCGTCGGGGTTGGACACAAGCAGAACAACTCGGCATCATGGTCTGGTGGACAGAGTGTATCGTGACAGAAACCGTCTCGGCTCTCCGCATCGACGCCCTCTCTCTGTGGATAAACATGGAAGACAAATATCCTTTGGTTCGTGAGCTGGCAGTGAACACCTACCTTTTCAACAATATCAGTTTGCAGTTTTTACAGTTCCCTTCTTCCTCCACTCCTCACCTGTCAGCAGAGTTGCTTCCCATCTCAGTTAATGTCACCTGCTTTTTCTGAACTGTGATCTAGTCTATAAATACCTACTATTCTGTAAAGTAAGCATTTGCCTTTCCTTAGCAATAAGTGGGGATAATGATACACGTGAAGCTGAGAGGAATTGAGATCCTTTGATGGAAAAGGCAAGGCAGTCTTGGTGAAACCGAGTTTCCTTTCAGAACTGAGTAAATCCAAACCAAAATAATTCTTTGCAGTTCATTGTTCATTTTATTACAAGTTGATTCGTCAGTTTAGCATTTGCCAAGTGCTATTTCTTCTTGCCATTTGTGAAAATGAATTAGCTTATTATTTCTGACTGGCTTAAAATGTGCCGCAATCAGACTGACTTGATGGGACTAAAGGGGATGTGTGAGTGGGAGAGTGGAGAGATGACGGCTTCTCAGGGAAGGGTTAGGCGCTCAGAAGGGGAAAAGGAGGATGGTTGTCCTGTTGCTCAAACATTACAGCAGCCCAGATAATACATTGAGTGTCCTTTTAAAGTCAGTCTGTTTCCCTTAGGGAGTCTGCTTGCCTTTCTGGTGTGAGCTTAGTGGTTCTGACAGGTTAATTTGAATTATTCCTTAGGACAATATTTCAAATAGGCCTCCTACTTAAGTGAGAAAGTGGTGTTGTTCCCCTTAATTGATGGAATCACGTGGACAGCTGTCCGTATGGCACTGTGTATCTGTCGCCTCCATCAGACACAAGCTGGAGAAGGTTAGTAGCACAATCGTGTGCGTGTGTGTTAGTATTTGGACTGCATTCTCTGATACTACAACACTTTCATGTGCAGCAGAGGCCTTCACTGTTCCCCACACCAGTTGGTCATCTGAATTGCCATGCCTTCCTGAATTTAGAAATTGATTTTTTTTTTTTCTATTATGCTTATTCTTTAGACGACCTGCCTTTAAAATTAAGGTGTGTCAGCTAACGTGATCTTTTTAAAGGTAAATCTTGCCAGATGTTCCAAACCATACCCCAAAATTGTCGAGTTGTAAAAGACTTGGATGTTTCTCACTGCACAGAAACTAGGTTAGTCTGCCCTTGCAAGCATTTGAGTGCAGAGGAGCACTGAGGTGCCTGTTCCTACCCCTCATGCTCCTCACCTTGGAGGTGCCGAGTTGCCTAAGTGGTGGCCTGCGTTGACAAGTGAAGGACAGTTCATCGTGAGAGATGTGTTGACCGTGGAGGTTCCCAGCTCGTGAACACGCTTGCATCCTAAACCAGTCGTTTTCCCTCCCTGTGAAACAGGGATGCTTTCTTTTCAAAGACTAGTATAACCGAAGTATGCATAAGCAGCTTTCAACTTAAAAATGGCATTATTTGATCATGCATAATCTTAACAAAGCATATCAAATTATTTTCTAACAATGGCAACCAATTTATCCTGTATTCCTCTCCATCTCATTATTGAAACAATTGCTCTTCAAACTTGAACTAATTTGTTCTGCGAATTGTTTGTTTCACAAGGAAATTTTGCCTGGTATATGCTATATATAGATATTGGGTTTTTTTAATGCAAAATATTCAGTTTTTATTGAGTTGGTTATGTTTATCTGAGATTAAGCATTCTTTTATTTAAAGAAACTGACAATAAAAATATAATTTTTTTTGCCTTCCTTTCAGGACAAATTCTGATTCTGCCTTGCACCAGAGTACTATGACTCCAGCTCAACAAGAATCCTTTTCAGGAGGGTCACAGGACATGCAGCAGAAAAGAGGTAAACAGAGAAAAACAGTAAAAATATTTCTAACATTCAAAGCATTGTACTTCAGATTATATATGCACATGTACATCTATTTCTATAAAAACACGTATGCATAACACTTTCTAGATTCAGTTACACAGGAATTGGAACAAAGGACCACACTTACTCTTCTGGGTACTGAAATCCAGAAAAGATTATACAAAGCTAAGATAGAACATTTTCCTGAACCCTGTATTCTGTTACTCTAAGACTTTGCCCTGTGGGGAGAAGTAATCTGGGCTTGTGGGGCTCTGGTGGTTAGACTGCTCTCAGCGGTACTAGAGGTTTGCAGTTTGTAGTAACCTCTAGACAAATGTAGGGATCACAGGCGTTTCATGGTCAGTGAAACAATATCGTAAAGCAGCAAGACTTCATCTAGTTTTTATTTACGGGACTGAGATCACTGGTGAATACACCCTCAGAGGCAATGCTGACAAACAATACAATCTGGTAACATTTCTGGTTACAAGCTGGAGGAGCACAGCCCTCCAGCGCTAACGATGCTGGTGCCCTCTGCTGGGCCCTGTTCCTGCTGTCTGTTCAAAAAATACATGAAAAACTCTTAAATCTGTGTAGAGAAATGTGATCCTTAAGCAACCACCCAGGGATAGGTGAACATGCGAGACTCAGATGCATATGGGCTGTACTGCAGCTCTTCCATATACTTCTAGAGCCGTAAAACAGTAAATAATGATCATCTTAAACAGTGCATAAATACAGATTTATAGTCATTGGTGTGAAAGGCTTCTGTTGATCCATCTCTCTGACTGGGCTTTCTTTTGATATTTCTTTGTCACCGTGCTATTAGCATGATGAAACAGTTGTTTACTTTGAACAAACAAATGTGCTTGGAATATGGAGAAGTTTTATAGCTTTATAGCATTTCTCTATTTCTTTATAGCATTTCTTTATAGCATTCTCTCTGAGGGGAGGTGGTCCAGATTTTTCCCCGACTGGAATTGTCCTATTGGCCACCCCTTAGATGGACCAGGTGTACACCACTTGTGCAAAATGCAAAAGATAGGAAAAACCAGGTCCCAAGTTACACTCTTCCATTTAGATCTAAGCAGACTACATTGGAGGTCAGAATTCTTTGAAGTATTATTTGGGGTTTTTTTGATGCTGATAATGTCCCCTTGCTAATTAAATACAGTTTTAGTCTCTTCTGCTGTTAATTTTTTTTAAAAAAATTATCTCATAGCAGTAGAGTGCCACTGTTTCATATTCGTTGATAACAGGGTACTTAAGAGTTTTCAAATGGTTAAACTTCCTATCTGAAAATTTCTTACTGAAAAACTTAATATTGTGATTCCTTTTGTTTTCAATTTTTAGTTTTATTACTGACTGTCCCTGGAATGGAGGAAACCACCTCTGAGGCAGACAAAACCCTCTCTAAGCAAGGATGGGACACTAAAAAGGTAGGAAACTCACATTTCAAAGTGTAGAGATTTTATTTTCTAAACATATTTAGGTAAATTAATGCTCTAAATGTTGTCAGCCAAAAGAAACTACTTGCAGAGATTAGAGATTAAATGCTGTATTTAGCAACAAATTGCTAAACATTAGATCAGGAGGGCACTTTATATGTATGTGTGCATGCACATGTTTGATTATATCAGGAGAAACTCTTTAAATTTGAGCATCATTGGGCCAATAAAGCAAAAAAGGTGTCAAATATCTTCTAAGAGCTTCACAGAGCTCTTGTGAAGAAGAATAGCTCTTCTGTAGAAATGTATTAAATTAAATAAAACTTACTCATTGAAATATATCCTAAACATTAATCACTAGCTGTATCTTTGCCTTTAAAAATGTCTTCCTTCTATTTTAGACTGGGTCATCAAGACCTAAATCATGTGAAGTTCCAGGAATCAAGTAAGTTTTGAGCAATTTATTTTTTTTTAAAGATCATTGAGACCTTTAAGAAAGAATGTTGCATATTGAATGTCCTTGTGCTTTTGAGTTTTCTGAAAAGCCCTTTGATGGTATAACACTGCAATAGATACAAGAAAAGCCAGGACCTTTATGAGTTACCTGTTGGTTATTGCATCTCTGAGTCGCTTATCAGAAATACAATATCTAGTTCTGTATATGGCACCTTCCTTTTTTAAGAAGACTTTATAAAGATCTGTCCAGGTCGAAATTTAAATGGAGATGTCTTGTTTGTTTTTTTTCTTCCCCTCTTTTTCCTTATTTAGCATCTTTCCATCAGCTGACCAGGAAAACACTACAACACTGATTCCTGCTACGCATAACACAGGCGGCTCCCTGCCAGACCTGACAAACATCCATTTCCCTTCCCCTCTCCCAACACCGTTAGATCCTGAGGAATCCACATTCCCAGCCCTGAGTAGCTCCAATAGTACCGGAAATCTTGCTGCCAATCTGACTCACTTGGGCATCAGCACTGCCAATCAGGGTAAGATCATAACTCGGAGGTGTTTTTACAGATTGTCCATCATTTGTCACTTGTCTTAAATTATGGAGGTCGCAGGGCTGAATGTTACTGTTTCGTCTGAGAGGTAATTGCACTTCACTGCTGATTGACGTTTCTTTGTAAACAAGTTTTATCGAGCCATTTCTGTACGAAAAAGTGAGAAAGCTGTGTTTAGTTCTATGACTTACAAATTATCTTTATTTTTTTCTTATGTTCTTGGTGCCCAAATCTGCTTTTTGGCGTTCTGTTTCCTTGTTTGTTTATTTTATGTATAAAAAGCATGCCTCTCTTGTAATTCATTGTACTTCACCCCAACAGCACTTGTGTTATGGAAGTATCTTAAGTAGGCCTTTTGTTTTCATTCCTTTAGAATAGTTTTTTTTTCAGTGTGAGCATTCTTTTGGAGAGAGAACATTGCTTGCTTCATCTCAGGCAAATCTTCTCTTTTGAGTAATCCAGAACTATGTGGAGCCTTTACAAGGTGTGCTAGTTTTCGTAAGCTTGCCCGCTTCAGTTTTGAAAATATCCTGAATATTCAGGCTACATAATAGAGTGGGGCTTTGGGAAATAATACCGAGTGCACACCTTAATTTCTCACAGCTCTCGCTATGGTGCCTTTGTGTTGAAATTGTTGCCTTCCTAGCAGCGCGGTTTTTGCTGCAAGTTCTTCTTAAGTGCTATTGCTGTTTGAGCTGTTCAGCGTGGTGAGTCTGAGTTGTGTTTGTTGGGCTTTTTGGACTTTGGCAATACTGATGATTTTATTTAAAAAAAACGCAAACAAACCAACAAAAAACCCAAACCCCAAACAACAAACCACAAACACACTTGATTTGCCATGCTGGTAGCTTATAATATACTGATCACCTGATAATTTCAGGATTATGTTTAACTTTATAGGCAAATAGCCTAAACTGGTGATGGTTATTTTTAAAATAATTTCACTGGGTCATTCTTGAATAGTTGTAAAGAGGGTTGCATTTTTTTTATTGTCAGTGACAGTTGCGGTCAGTTGATTCCTAGAATAGAAATGAAGCATTGTATCCAAAAATACGAGTGTATTTCCTGTGTTAGGATTCCCTTACCCACTTAAAAATCCTCTCCTATATTGGGAAAAGGAAATAATCCTAATCAGGTTAATGTAGTGTTGTGACCGAGCAGTTATATTTTAGAATGAAGCAAGGAGATGGTTTAACCATTTGAGTACCGAGTAGGTCAGCAGCTTTCAGCACCCTTTAACAAGTTTTCTGGTCCCAAAAGAGACTGTACGAAGTTTCAGAGATGGACTGTTGCTCAAGGAGAACTTCGCGAGTCTGTGCGGAGAGCTATCGTGTGTAGAAGAAGAAACAAACGACTTGCGTGGAGTTAGGCCAGACTGGGTTGCTAAATTTTTTGCCGTACCCATAATTAGCAAAGTAAATGGTACAAAACCAAACCAGTAAGCGTGTAATTGCTGTGAAAATATTTCCTGATCTGTCAAAGACATAACAAATTAGAAAGATACACTCATTGATGATTTTCCTGCTTCTCTTTGGAGACTATCCCGTAGTTTAATCATTGGCATAGTCAGCGTTTGGTGCTTTTCTAACTGATTTTTCCAAACCTTCCTGCCTCTCTTTGTCTTTTAGCTATTTAGCAGAAAACGTAAAGGCTTTTGAACGTTTTGCAGGAGTGCTGTGTGTTGCACAGGCATGCCCTCAGCAGCCCCAAGAAAAGGTGGGGAAACAAACACCTGTCAGGTTACCAAGAACCGCCAGCAATTTAAGACTACACATTTGTGCATTGGAGTTTGTCAGTTCGCTGACACGTTCTGTGAGACAGTGTCGATTTTGAAAACGTCGCAGGGGAAGAAGTCTTCAGAATCTACGCGGTTTGAGCCAGTTTGCCTGCTGGCTCCTTGGCAGCCCGGACTTCCTGGCTCCCTGGCAGCCTGCCTGGAAGCCTTGAACATTTGCCAAGTGCCTAGGAGCTCACAGGCTCTTATGAATTCCTCCTTTCTGGCAGCTCTAGAAGAACAGCTCACTAGCTAGATTGTCCTGAAGTCACTTTCCAGGGTGTCTTGGTTCTTCTAGGGTGAGGCAGAAAATAGGGGAGGCTTCAAAACTTCCAGATTTTTGTCTTGAATTTGAACAAAATTACAATACTTGAATTGTTTATCCATACCCCCTGCTAGGTCGTGGCTCTTTAGAGCGTGAAGGATATTTCCTGCCTTCCCATGCACTGGTATGCCATTAAAAATGGAGTACTTCCTGTGTAACCAGTTCTTCTTCTGCATTTTCCATTAAATGGGTGTTTGCTTTTATAATATCTCAAGTGCCCTCTTATTAGTCTTGTTATATGATCTGTTATCTTCTTCCTGAAGTTTGAGCCCTTACAAATAGAGCAGAATGTGCTTTTCCTGGGTTCGGTGCGTGCAGCCCGGGAGGTGTGTGAGAATGATGGTATCTGTAAACCGCTGAACCTGCTCTGCCTATTTCAATTTGAAGTCGATACCTGTGCACAAACCCGAACAACTGTGACTGGTTTTGGTCCAGGATAGACCACAGGGATCTTCCTCTTGTCCTGATGCTCTGCAGCCTGACAAAATTAATTGCAAATTAGCTAACGTGTTCCAGCCTGATTGGCTGAGGTGCATTCAGCACTTTGCATTAAGTGGTTGTCCACTTAACGCCATTCATTTTTCATCGTTGAGGTAATTACCTCCATACAAGTATCAATGAACCATTACTCTGTTCCCATTTAAGCTGGTTCGTTCCTTCCTGGTAGGAATGACGACGACGCCAGCCCCTTCCCAGCAGCACCGTCAGCCAGCCGTCAGTCCTCTCTCGTTGAGTGCAGACTCAAGGCGACCACAGTCACAGCAAATGTCTCCTACGCTTTCCCCTTTGTCACCAATTACTCAGGTAGGAACTTGGAGAATTAAAATTTTTCGATCATAAATTAATTGTTTTACTCTGCCTAGGGAGAAGCTGGTGGTAAGTTCATCTGTCTTGTTCTGTAATTTTCTTCTTTAAATGTGTTCATTAATTCAGAGCCTTAAAAAGGGAAAGGTTTGTAGAGGGGACAGATTTTACTGTTGCTTTTCTAGAACCGTGGTAAAAAACATCTATTAGGACACTGTTCTGTAATGGTCCCAAAGTTACTTGTGAAATTTGAAAGACATTTCTCTAATTCATGAGGGAAGCTCAATTAGCTTTTTAAAATGATTTCGTAAGTGTGACTCTGTGACTGACTTGCTTATTAATTTCTGACCTGGACATTTAACTGGGCTTTTAGAGTATTTGTTTATTGTACACTGGAGGTGATATTAAGTCTTTTGAAACATGTTCTTGACTGTTTCTGAATTTTTAGGTAACATTTTTTAAATGCAGGATGAGATTGACCTAGTACAGTTCACTTGGTGTGAAACCTGCTGTGCTTGAAAACAAAGGGGAATTACCTGCCAGCATGGATGATTTTGATTCTTTTTTTTTAAGGCCGTGGCTATGGATGCATTGTCTCTGGAGCAGCAGCTTCCCCCATATCCGTTTTTTACCCAGACAACTTCCCAGCAACAGCAGCAGACCCAGGTGGCGAGTGCCCTGCCTCAGAATACTCCTTTAATGCAGACCTCTGGTTTACAGCGAGGAACACAGCTCCCCCCGCTCTCCGTCACGGTACCTTCTACCATCCCACAGTCACCTCCAGGTAGCCAGACCCAGCCATCAATGGGAATAGACATCAACTCGGTAAGCTTGGGCACAGCTGAAAACGCTAAGAGCTTTCATTCGGAAAACCCGGTAGCGTACAGCGTAGTGTCGAGGGTCAGGCTGGACAGCCCTTGTAATAAGTACGCTTTTAGGCAGAGCCTGAAGCAGACTTAGAGTGATTTTGGTTGAATCTGCATTTAAGTGTTTTATAGAGGAAAATGTAGTTTTAACGTGCGCATAGGGTGGCCCTGTTTTCGTAAAATGGTGTCCCTTATGACTCCATGTTTGATTAGACCAGCTTAAATATGTCAGCATTTATTTCACACCTTGCTGCTGCCGTTGCACTGATACATTTTCAAGCTGTTAAATGTAATGCACCCCAACACACTGCGTGTTATACAGTGTGCTATAGACTGGAGGAGTTAACAGAACTTTGATAAAGAAACCTGCTAACAAGCATTTTCCGAAAGTTGGAGAGCACCAGGTATTTTCTATACTTTCTATATTTAGAACCTTTTCATTTTAGGGAATGTTAGACCGTACATTAATCTCTTAAAAATTTGGATTTGTGGCTGCCTTCAGATGCCCAGAAGAAATGGAGTATATCCGTACATATACCGATGATTTATGGGCAGATTTCTTTTCTTGCTTGTTTTAACATGGTCTGTTATGAATGTTGTCTGTCTCAGCATATGAAAATCCAAAATGCAGAGCAAGGTCAGGGTTACAGGCTACCTGGGGAATAATTTCACAGCTCGTTCTCTGCTCATTCTGCCCTGCTGTGTAGGCTCTTGGTTGTCTGACCTGTTGTGCCCTCCTGGCAGTGTTGTAGTGAGAGTAATTGGTTTGAGAATGAGAAGAAATCATTGTCTGTTGATCTACCACTTGATCAGGGGTTTCCTTTGTGGATGAAATTTTTAACAGTTTGTGCTGATAAGTGCTTCTTGAAAGAAGCTGCTTCCCTTTCAGGATTGGAAGGGGAAGAGGGAAGGACAAATCCAGCAGTGGAAAGGATACTGACCCACTCAAAATGTGTCCCAGCGTTTTGATTCTAATACTCACATAGCTACCAGTACAGATGATTCTGATTTTCATCCCTTGCTTTCTGTATTGCTTTCCTCATCCTAAACTTTCTTATGACCTTAACTTTTTAGGGTGCTGTGGTTGTCTCTTAAAGCAACTGAAATCATACATAAACTAGCTTTAAATTTAAGTTTATTTATCAAAAAGCCGTTTGAGCTGTGTTACTGTCTCACTGACAACTTCTATGCCGTTTTGGTAAAGCAATATTGAAATTCATTTTGCTGTAGTTTGGATATCTGCCTAAAGTGCGTAAATAGCAATGCATAGCAAAAAGGGTCAAGACATATTTTCCTGAGATTTACAGAATTCGGTGTCAGCAAGCATTAGTAGTACAACGTTCTCCCACACTGCAAAGCGATCTGATTGAATTACTCCTTTTTGTAGAATACTGAGGTTTTCCTCAAACATCTGTTAATTCCAAGTATAATGAGAAGAGCTATACTTGCTATTTATATTTAGTGCAACATTCTATTTAAATGCCGTTAAGATTATTAATTTGTTCAAACCCAGGGTTCTTTATGACTAAAAAAAGGTAAATCTTTGAAAAAGTGTTCTCAGGATGACTGAGAACAATCTAAATGTCACTAATATAAACCTGCAAAGCACGGTGTGAATTCTCAGACAGTGTCTGTTCCATGTCCTGGGGTAAAATGCAGCTTTGAGAAAGATTCCAGTCTGCACGGTTATACGCTTCCATCTTGATAACGCACCCAGGCTATTCAAGACTAGGCAGAGTAGTACGAGAAGGATTTCGAGAGCAATGTAAACACGGGTGAAGAATGTGTGGATATGGCAGTTGAATTGAAGAATAATTTACCTTATTTTTGAGTTATTCCCAGCTTTCAAGACTTCCCTAGATCGTTGGCTTACCAGGTTTGGTGGTTTGTTTTTGTGTGGGTTTTTGTTTTGTTTTTTTTTTTTTTCAATTGAGCATGACTGAGAACAGGGAGAAAATATTTCAAGTTTTGCTTGTACGACAGCACTGCCCTGCTCTCAGCCGTTCAGTCAGACGAGACCATGCCACGCCGGTATCTTAACTCTCTCCTTTTTGTGGCATTGTTCACAGTAATCATGTCTTTATACATAGCCAAGAATTGCTGAAGAGGATGGTTTCCCCCAGCGTCCTCGAGCTGTATATGCTAGAAGTTTATAGTTTTCCAGCCTTCCATCAATCCCATGGTCTTTAATTCTGTGTTGTTCTGTAGGCTTCACTCCAGCAGTACCGCAGTAATGCTGGATCCCCAGCCAACCAGTCTCCCACCTCTCCTGTCTCCAATCAAGGCTTCTCTCCTGGCAGCTCCCCTCAAGTAAGGGACTCTGTGCTTCCGCAGGCCTTGCTTCTTGTGTTTGTTTTTAGTTGAGTCTCTCCATTACTGACCCATAGTTGTCTCACTGTATGTGCCTCATGCATTACTGATGTCTCATCTTGTTTGCAGTTTCATTCAGTTCCAGAGTTTTTCAATAGCTGGTGAATTGCCTTTTTATTGATCAAAGCTACTATTTGAACGCTATTAAATCTCAGTTGTTTCTTTGGGGCGTACCATGGACAGAACCCCCAGGTAGACCCCTTTCAATTAGCAATATCCCGTAGGAGCTGACGGATAAGGTTGGGAGGGCAGGGGAGAGAGAGAGAGAGAGGGAAACTTCAGTGCTTCGTGCAGCAGGATAACTCCTCTGGCACTAAATAGCCCGTGTGTGGCCAAATGCGTTTACGTCAGGACCTTTCTTTTACATGTGAACATACACTTTGGAAGAGAACACTAGAGAAAATGCTCTGAAAATTGGCAACTGTATCTTGTGGCTTGCAAGTAATGGGTTCGTAAACACGCTTTCTTGCATGCTAGCTGGTTTTTCTTCCCGTGTATGTATATACTCATACATCCACATGGCCTATATACAAGTCATAGCTTGGGGTGTGTGTAAACCTGTGAAAGGGCATTTTTATCTGCCGGCAGCAAGACAGCTAAAAACGAAGCAGCCTTTGGGGATGCCCCTACTGTAAGGGAGTGTGAGTGCATTTGCAGTGCAGAGATAATCTGATGCTGCTAAAACAGCTCCATAGGGCTCCCCTTTTCCTAAATCCCAGCTGTAGAAATGAGGTACAGGAAATTCTTCCAGAGCGTCATACAGAGTCTGAAAATACATTTTCTGTTTCATCATTTAATGTTTAAGGCTGTAAGGAGGATCCTATCTAAATAAGTGCTGCCCCTCCATGGTTCCAAAGCAGAAGCTTCGTCTCTCCTTGCCATTAGCCAGAGACAGGTCACTGGTAAGCTCAGTAATAGATCTGAGTGTCAGGACTGTCTGGATTTTCTTAACCCTTGCTTAATTGCTTCTTAACTTCTCTCTCTTCTGCCTGCTTCTGCCAGTTCTGCTGTGTTCTGCGTGTGGCTCAAAGAAAACAAGCAAACTTACTCCTCTAGGCTGTCGTGTAGAGCAAAGCTGTTGCCAGTCTTGCTGCAGATCCTCAGGTCCAGTTCTCATTTGGGCAGGGCATCTGATTTTAATTTTTGCATTGATTTTCTTTCCCCCTTGACTTCTCAGTAACTCTTTCTTGGTTTTGTCTGCAGACTTGTTGCCACTGGTCAGTCCAAAGTACTGGAGTGCAGCGAGCACTCCCCAGTGGAGCACACACTTGACTATAATTTTTCCTGCTGGGCCTGTTTAATCCTGTAAACTCTTGCTTAGGTTTTGCTGTTTTCAAGTGGGACGCCATAGTTCTGTGTGAAAGGAGGAGGGGTTATTAATACTGCTTGCTTTAGTATTGGCCGCTTCAAAATACCCACACAATTCTTTATTTTTGCCGAATGAAAAATGAGACGGCTTTCCTGCCTCCATCAATGAACCGAAAGCTAGTAGTGGCGAGCGAGCTATCTCTGGTGGTGATTGCAAATACTAAGTGTGGAGAGAAGCAACGGGGGAAGAAAAAACAGTTTGGAAGAAAAATTTGGGTTGGTTGTGATTATGGAGGCAGCTCCCAAATAGCAGGATCCATGAGACTGTAGAGTCATCTGCCAAGAGTAAAGGCAGATTGGTTCCAGCAGCAGAATATGTCCGTTGGGAACAGTCTGGCACTGGCTGACAAGAGCGGAATAAAGTAGGTGTGACCGGGTAGGCGTCCTCCACTTGCTCCTGTTTCCCTGATTAATTTTAGGTTCAGTCGTTCTGCAGCGTATCAGTACAATGAGTGACATGCTCTAAAAATAGAAAGCTGTGGTTCGATTTTTATCACATACGGTTCATTCACCAGAAGTTATTTTTCATCTTTCCACATCTCCAAATCTATCTGCTCTTGTGTTTTAGATGTGTGTTTGTTATATGAAGGTCTTCCTGTTCAAACACGAATTGAAAAGCTCTGCTTGTAGTTCTCAGCTTTGTGTTTGCATGGCTTTTCATTGACAACGGCTTGTTTATTACTACTTTGCTTTTCTCCTCTAACACCTGGCATACTGTTCCAATTAGATAGAAATCTGCTTTTTTTAGTAGAATGGCTGTGTACTGGATAATATGGTATGTATTTTTAGATTAATAATTTAAGCCAGGGGTTTTGTGGTTTGGGTTGTGTGTGTGTTGTTTTTTTTTTCCTTGCAGTCACCACATCATTAACCCAAGAAGATGTACTGTTGACAAAACAGACCTCATCTAGTGTTTCTGGAGGAGATGGTGTTAGCAAGATGTTTTTCACAGAGATGTCGATAAATTATTCTAGGACTCTGAAGTGTTGAAGTAATGACATTTCCAGTTGATTTCCTTTGGGAGTTTCAGTGCTTACAGATGTAATAACCGGTATACTTCAGAGCTGGGGAATAAGTACGGGCTTGTATGTTTTGTTAAGAGTTACTAACATAGACTTGCACAAATAGATTTTGGTCTCCTCTTTATTATTTTTCATATTGTCTGAACTTTTTAGGGTGGGAGCAGCGCTTAGTGGAATGCAAAGGTTTTAGGTTTTGCCCTACTTCTGAAAAGCTCCTGTAAAAATGAAATGTCAGAAGTTAAAGGAAAAAAATACCTTGATCCTCTTTGGAGCTCTCGGATAGCAATTGTATTTCAAGTGCTAGTCCAAACTGCCTTTGATTCACGTAGAGTATGAGACATCCCGAAGCGCAAATTTTTCATTAGAAATTGCTATAAAACATCACGCAGTTCAGAAGCCATGCCTGCCACTTAAGACAGGAACGATTTTCCCGTGATGGAGTTCAGCTTGCCTGGTCCTGATCTGCTTGCTTGAGTTAGCTCTAGGTTCTGCCTCCATTCTTTTTTTCTTTATTTTTTTAGAAGAAAATAACACATGTAGCAGGTTGAATAATGTGGAGTTTGAGTAGTTGATCAAAGTGTGATGGGGCAGCAAATAAGATATCGGTGGTTTAAAGAAAACTGTAGGTTTGGGTTTTTTTTTATTTAAGTAGTGCTCTGCTTTTTCTCTTATGAGGTATAACGTGGCTCTTGCTCGAGATGTTTGATCACTTCCTCGCAGCCCTGTCTCATGCGAGGGATAGAGCAGCCACAGTAGTTTTGAGGACCAGACGATAAATTGGAAGACCGGTTCCAATTATAACCATTTTCCATTTTTATGTGCTTCTAAGGAGGGCATCGAGTAGGGTGTTAAGCTGCAAAGATTTCGTCACTGTTCTGCGGTCATAGCTGTGACAGATCATAAGTGCCCAGGAAAGTGAATCAAAATCTTATTTTTGTCCATAATCCCCTATTCTTGGATCAGGCTCTATTTAACCAGTCGTAAGGATGAGCTGGCTTCATTTAGTTAAGCCATTTCTTACTGAGAAGTTACCGTATGGTCTTCTCTGACGAAGACTTGGAGGCAGTTGTCTACTGCTATTTCTGACTCTGCCAGTATCCTACCTGAAACGTAGCACCGCGGAGGTCCGTACAGCTTGCGTTCCCAGTCTTCTGGCCTCATCCAGCAGCGCTGCTCTGCAGCAAATTTCTCTCTTCCCCAAGTGCATTCAAATCGTACCCATACCCTCGCATGCAGCCGATGGAAAGCGCTTCGCGGAGATGCTCGGAGCAGCTCTGGGATCGCACAGGATCTGCTCAGCAAGGAGTTTTGTAGCACACCCAGCATGTGCTGAACTTTCAGCTGCCTTCCCCCACCAAGTCTCGTTCTCGGGCTGCGAATTCCTCCCCTGATGCCACATTTATCCAACAGCATCCGTATAATATGATAGCCAGGGATTCTGGCTGAAGGTGGGAAGGTTTTTGTTTGCTTGGAAAAGAATATATTGTTGCTTCTATCCTGATAGTCCCCTCTGATGGAGGTTATGGGCAATTTTAGTTGTTTTTTGGTGTGTGGTTTGGTTTGGTTTGGTTTTTTTAAAAATACAAGGCTTCCATTCTTTTCCTTGCATGCAACCTGCAAATGAGCTGTGCTGAGATGTGCTACTGATGTAGGAGGGAGGATGTTTAAAATGTGATGTTTGCTGAAATTTTTATGTCTGCTGTTGTGGACATCATCCTGTGGTTTTTGAGTATCTTAATCTTTGGCTGTGTCCAGAGCTTTTAACTGTGGTGGCTGGTGTAACTCTGTTCTGATGTTTCCTAGGGCTTTGCTTAATTTCCTGTGCTGATTAGGTTTCTAAGGAGAAAATTTGTGGCCTTCCTCTTTTAATGCATAGATAAAACAGCTGGGAAATCCTGTGCAAGGTATTGAATGTTTTTTCCGAGATTGATACAAACTCGTGACACAAATTGTCTTTTATAGACACCATCTTTTATAGATGCTCTCCTTGTCAGTAGATGTTTTGTTTTCAGGTGGAGTATCAGAATTTGTGATGGTTTTAAATGAGAAGTGACCTCTCTGTGATTTCTTTTGTATCTGGCAATGCTTTGGGACAGTGCTGAATACTGTTAAAAAGTTGACCTCAAATTCTTGGTCACCTTTAGAATAATTGATAAATGATGGAGAATAACTGATAAACACTTCTCGTGCTAGAGGGGATGGTAAAATTAGCAAGGCTGAGGAATTCTTCATGAGATTCTTGCCTTTGAACTGCCGGTACCATGCTTTACTGGGCTTTCTCGTTAACTTTTCTGATCTGCAGCTAAAGTGAAATGACTTTAAAACGTCGGTTTTGTTTTGGCATGTGGTTGTCTCGGTGAAGCTGGCTGTTCCCTGAGCAGGAGGTGGCAGAGACAGAGTCACTACGGGCGTGCTGGCCATCAGCTTTGCAATGCATTTTGTTTTAACGTGCAGTTTACTTCTGGGGGGGGTTGTCTTTCACCCAAAAAAAAAGTTCACAAAACTTAAGTTGCAAAGTGATTTTTTTTTTTTTTTTCCCCATTTTATTTCTCGTGTTATCTAGAGCACTCGTCTGTTTTCATAAATCAGAAGTTTTCCATGTTGTGTGTCCTCCCTGAGGAAGTTTGTTTGGTTTACTTGACTATTTTTGTGCTTACCAAAAGGCAGCATAACACAGAAGGATTTGTGTGTCGGAGGGAAATACTGAACGTTTTATGAGCTTGCTGGTGGTTAGGGGCTGTGAATAATAAAGGGCACGGCTAACTAACTTTGAGAAGAATCAGTCGGAAGGCTGGAGTCACTCGCACGCCGTGGGTACGTCTGTTTGTGAGATTTTTGCACCATAAAGACTCTGTTTTGTTTTCAGCATTCTTCCATTCTGGGGAGTGTATTTGGTGACTCCTATTATGATCAGCAGATGACAGCTAGGCAGGCTAATGCCCTATCCCATCAGGTGAGCAAATTCATCTCGGATTTTCAGCTATATTTCGGCCACTTTCAGCTTAAAATAAATATAGATCAACTTCAGATTATTTTATGTGAGATCACATCTTGTCCATATAGTTTTACTTCTGTTACTTTTAGTTTGCAATAATTGGGGATTTCTTTTCTTCTGGTTTGTTTGGTTTTTTGGTTGTTTGGTTTTGGGTTTTTTTTTTTGGCTACCCCCACCTTGCTTCCCCTTCCTCCCTTTTAGCCATTCTAGCAGATGTTTTTCAAGGTGTTCTGCCAAGTTTATTGGATTAAAAATAATGGAAATAAATTTTAAAGCCACCACATTTCTGGCCGCAGTTGCATTTGGGAAGGATTTGCTCGTAGGTGGTAACAATATTTACTCCCGAATTTGGCAAACAACTCGTGCACGGTACCAAGACCTAGCAAGCAGACCCATGCCTGCCTTAGTTTGGCCAGCCAGTGCATTAATTCAGTCAACTGGGAGATACGCTCTGTTACCAGGAAAAAAATGAGATGGCTTCTGAGAAGCAATGCTTGATGGGCAGGTACCTGAGTTAGTAGCATGAATTATGGGGGTTTTTACTTTGTTTTAAAACCACCTTTTCTTTTTGTTCTTACAATATCAAAGGCAACAGTTTTCTTTTTGCATCCACCCTCTCCTCATTCCCCTGCACTCTGAATTTGGCAGTAAACTATTCTGGAAAGTTAAGTGAAAATAGACCGTATTTTGATCAACGAAACCTAAAGATGAATTTGTTTGCCTGTCTCTTTCAATGTTACTTCCCGTACTTGAGCTTTGTAAGTTGTTTTGCTGTTTTTCCTGATGGTTAGAAGTAATAATTCCTTTGTGCCTTGGTCTTCAGCTTGAACAGTTTAATATGATAGAAAACGCCATTAGTTCCAACAGCCTGTACAGCCCTTGTTCCACCCTTAACTACTCCCAGGCAGCCATGATGGGACTGACGGGCAGTCATGGCAGCTTGCAGGACTCGCAGCAGCTGAATTACTCCAGCCATGGAAACATCCCCAACATCATTCTTACAGGTAAGAAAACGACAGATTTAACCGACAAGTAAAACCATCCCGGTGTCGGTGCTTTTCTTCATTGTGCAACGGCTCACTTGGAGCCAAGAAAGGAAAAAGGGTATTGTTGCCTTTGAAGGTTTTGTTTCACCGGGTGTAAGTGTTCGTGTTACCGGTCTGGCGTATTTCCTGAGTGCCGGGGAGCCTGACGGCTCTCGGTTAATCCCAGCAAACAGGTAGAGCTGCAATGGCAGCACTAATTGTCTTTCAGACTTTCCCTGCCTCTGAATTTACTGAGTCCTCTGCCACAGTGAGGGAGAAGCTGTGAAAGCCGAACTTCTTCCTCTGCTGCTCTGTTTGAGCTTGCCAGCAGAGGATTTTTTAGTGTCACATATGGTAGCGAATCTGGTCACGGTTGGACGTTTGGAAACAATTTCTGTGCAGGCCACTGAGAAAACTGCAGTTCAGTCCGTATCTCAGCCAAGGACTCTTGCTGATTAGAGTCACGTAAATTAAGGTTATTCCTCCTAAACCTAAGGGAGAGAAAAGAGACTGAAGTGACGTCACTTTGTGGCCTCCAAATACGCAAGAGTGACTTTTGCTTTGCGTTAGGTCACTGTGATGGTTTTGAGATGCTCTGACAAACCTGTAATTCATCCAGCTGGAAATGAGGATAGATGTTTCTTGTCTGAACTTCAGCCTCAGTTCAATAAATTGTTCCAGAATTTTTGTAAGCTGTTTTATGGCTGCTCTGCCTGGTGAATATGTATTTGCTAAGTCCTCCCGCCACCTTTCTCTTCTTCCTCTTCCTTGCAGTGACAGGAGAATCTCCTCCCAGCTTATCAAAAGAACTGACCAGCTCTTTGGCAGGAGTGGGAGACGTCAGCTTTGATACGGATTCCCAGTTCCCTCTGGATGAACTCAAAATTGACCCTTTAACCTTGGATGGACTGCACATGCTGAATGACCCAGACATGGTCCTCACCGACCCTGCCACAGAGGACACGTTCAGGATGGACCGGCTGTGAAGCGTGGACGCCAGGAGCGTGGGAACGGCGCTTGTTCCTGGAGCCCAGCCGAACGAGAGGGTCCGACGGGTCACCGGGACCTGCCGAGAGCAGCAGCCCTGTCCTGTACAACCTGTACAATGAGTAAAGCTTGTCGTTCTAAGCTTGCAGCGCTGCAGACCCCTACTCCCTGTCGCGCCGTATTTCACCCCTTATCCGCTCGTTGCCATTGATGAGTAAGGAGTTTCCATCAGCCTTTCCCTCTCCAGAGCCCCCCCTTTCCCCCCACCAAAGCTCCAGCGTTAAGTTGTCAGTTTATCCTTTGCACTGGAAAGGGGGTATTTTTGGGCAGGCGAGGAAGGGTCAGAGCCAAGGGTCGAGAGCTTCTTTCTAACGTACCAAATTGTTGGCTGCTGTTCGAGACGGGGAGGGGGAAGCGCCG